CTAATGCGTTGCCTGGGAGCCGGGGATGGAATTCTGGGGCTGGTGGCTAGGGGCCAGGGCCTGGAGATGAAGTTTGGGGGCTGGGGAGAGGGAACAGGGTGCCAGCCGGGGGAGAGATTCCCCTGCATCCGCCTCCTCCCAAGATCCTACTCCCCCAGAGAGAAGCCGGCATGCACCTCTCCCGGAGTGACCCCCCCTCCTGCGGGGCAGGGGAACTCCCCCTCCCCCGCGTTCCTCTTCCCCCGGGGCCGACCCTCCCCCTCCCGCGGGGCAGGAGAAACCCCCGCATTCCTCCAACACCTCCCCCCTGCGTTCCTCCTCCCCTGGGGCCGACCCCCTGTGGCACAGGGGCACCCCTCCTCCCTCCCGCGCTCTGCCTCTCCCAGGACTTACCCCCCTCCTGGCCACAGGGAAGTTGTGCTCCAGGTAAGGCACCGGAAAGGAAAGGGGAAATGGAAGGGGCAGGGTTTGGAATTTGGCACCCCATGTAACTTGGTGTCCTAGGCAGCTGCCTAGTTTGCCTATAGGCACGGGCTGCCCCTGGAAATAATTGATTAGAAGGGTTTAGAGGAGGCCTCTAAAGGAGAGGAAATGTTTTTTAAAAAGACACATTGTGGAAGAAAAGAAACAGGATTCCTTGAGCCTTGTTGGGTAAAGGCTAGTGTTTGGATGGACAAGAGAGTTAATAGTGCTTGTGAACAAGCAAAGCTGTTAAATTTGTAAATGACGGAGCAGCAGAAACAAAGTTTTGGTGCCCTGGGAACATCAGTATAGAGTACATTATGTAATAAACTTACAACATTTCCAACTTTCTCAGTGGCCGTAGAGATGAAATATACATCATTGTTTTACAAGTCATTGAAATGTGAAATTGAGACTCTGACTGCTGTGTATAACCAGCTTCTCTCACTGGAAGTGAGAGAAACTCTCAGGCCAATATGAAAAAAAAAATCAACCCTGTTGGAACTGAGTCCCAATTTTTCCATTCCCCACAGTCTATTCCTTTCCTCTTCCTCCTTTCTTGTGTGGCAGCCAAGTCCTGTGTTTTGATGAGCCCCAGCTGTATCATTTTCCTCTACCAGATTACTCTTAAACCCAGACCTGACAGGGAAAATAGGGTTGTAAGGACTTTGTCTGCCTAAGCCTCATGTGATCTGGTCACATGATGGAACAAGAAAGTGTGTGTTTGTATGAGCAGTGGAAAGTGTAGTTGTAGGCATCAAAAATGCAAGGGAGGAGGCTAAAGGGGCAGAGTGAATGTTATAGAATCAAATTAAATCAGGCTGGAAATCTGGATAGAAATATTTGAGAGAACAGATGTGAGTAAACTTCTAAAGGATTAAGCAATGTTCAAATGTAAGCATGGTTATTAATACATAACCTTAATAGTAATGTGGTAAACTACATTAAAAGGCTGGGTTTCTTAAAATATGTTCTTCATGGGATTTTTTGTGTGCAGGTTAAGTGTTACTGTACTTGATTTTCTTTTGCTTGTTCTTCCTGGCTGTCTCCCTGGTCTCCCTTAGGATGGATACCTTTAGGCGACAGCTAGGCACTGTATGGACATACAAAAAGAAAAAGGTCTCTGTCCCGAAGAACAGAATCTAAATAGATGAAATAGACAGAGTGTGTGTGGGGGGTGGGGGGGGAGAATAGAGG